TAGATTTTTGCTCTTAATGTGGCTTATAATAAAATACAGACTAATATACTTAGCTTATTTAGTACTCTTCTTGTTTGGTATAAATGAAACAGTTAGAAATGCTATCAACCCAAATTATTCTTTCAAGAGCCATGAAATTTAAAACAGCTGATATTTTCTTTTTCATACAAACAGCTTGGAACAAATGTTTTGCTTGTGCAAATGAGACAGCTATTATGATGCAAAGGAGTATCTCAAAAACAAAACAAAAGAAATGCCCTTTCTCTGTTTTAAGTGTTTCAGCTAAATATTGCAATAATTGCAAGCAGAACCTAGAACTTCTTTCTTGTTTCTGTTCTTTGATATGTTTTAGCAACGTCTCTTGAGACAATTAAAATGTCTTAGTTTTTAGGACATGTGGTCCAGCGGGGATAACTTTGTCTATATATGCAGTGGATTGGGAGTTAGATTTTGCATGTCTTCTCATTTCTTTCCACATTCTCTGACCCAGGGTAACCTTTGGTTCTTCTCTGAAGGCAGGAGTGAAGGAAGTTTGAACAGGTGACTGATGATCACTGTCTATAGGGCCCACAGACAATACTCGAATTACTTTAGCAGTCCTCTTAGTCCCCTCCTCCCACCCCCACCCCCTTAAACCAACAAATGCAAATAGCTTCATCCCCATTTGCTGGAAATTCAGGCTTGCTCAGGCAACATGGGCTTTGTTGTTGACGTGCTTTCTTCAGAAAGGCAGTTTTATTCCTGGTAAAGGAGAGGGCTGTTGAGTGGAACCTAAATCACCTTAATGGTAAATGCAGCAACAGTTTGTTTCTCTGGAATATTTCCAAAGGTAGGATTACTCCCAAAGTTTCTTTATACTGTAGTTGAAGTGTAGTTAAAGAAATTCATTGTTTGCTTTGTTAGCTTTTGTATACTAAACATCCCAGTCATTTCTGTTATCTTGAAAATCCTGTTTCATTCTAAATATTATTTAACTGAAATTGTTAGCACTATTATTTGATTAGTCACTTCTAAAAATTGTTTTATGATACAAGGGAAAAGACAGTTTTTTATTATTTCTACCATAAAAAGAGTTTAAATAAAAAAGGAGCAACCCTATTGTAAGTTAGACTTGATCATTTAAATCTACAGTTTGTGATGAAAAGTGTTGCCAATTTTTTTTCTGTAGCTTTGAGGAGTATAACATAATTTTCACTGGTATTACATGAGACTTAGTAAAAGTATTTTTATGATACAGTAATGTGGATAACATTTTACTAATTAAAAATTGTGTCAATACATTTAATATGTTTTGTGGAAATTATAGCAGTGACTGCTATGATTGTTTTTAATAGCATAATGGAAGTCACTCTATAGAAGCCATTCAATAAGGAAAAATGCTATGCTTTAAAAATTGAATGGCTTTTAAAGGCTTAGTATTGTTAAGTTGTTAGGTGATATGAATTGACATGAAACAACTGAAGTTACTTCTTTTCATGTGAACATTTTTCTGAAAATATTAAAGGTTTTGGAAATGGTCATCTTCTTTAATAATATTATTGTGACCAAAATCTTGGTTCTTTTGAAGTGAGCAGTTATGAGGAATTGGGGGGGGGGGAAGGTCTTTACGGGAAGGACCCCCATAAAGCTGAAGGGAGTAGTGTGCAAAGCATGTATGATTGGAAGGTATAAAACAAGTATATTTTAAAAACACTCTTAAATTAAAGCCTTTCTAAATTCTGTGATTTCTAGCTTGTTTTTCATTCTTACGATTTCCTTTCTAAGCTGAATACTTATGAGATAGAATTATATAACAGGGTAGGAAAGCCATGTAACTTCTACTAAATTAGATTTTCTTATTTGAATTTAGCATGTATGCCAAGAAAAGAGGCACTGTCATTTAAGTGCGGGGATAAACAACTTAACTGGACTTTAGTATTTTAAGTTTGAGAGCTTAAAGACTTTAGGTTAAAGACCTTTCCATTGTTTTGGGGTATTTCTTTCCAGTAACATTTTTACAACTTTTTAATAACCTTAAGATAGAATATTCTGTGCAAATTAAGGTATGTTTTATAAGGTGTATGAAGAGTTTTTCCCCTCTAATCTGTTTATTTTAGCTTTCCAAGCCCTGTTTTGAAAAGGGGGAGAGGGGAGTGGATTGAAGCTTCAGATCCTTTCAGTATGTTTGGTTTTGGTTCAGTTGTCCAGACATTTTTTAAAAGCCACTGGAAAAGATATAGCACCACTTCCCAAATCGGGGTGTTCTATCAGACCCCAAAAGCAGATCTTTACTTTTTCAAGTGAATGATTTATTTCTGTGTGGGAGTTACCCTTTATTATATGTTTAAGGTATTTTTAATACTGTAAAACTGTGGTTCTTGGTATTAAGAGGGAAACCTACATGGGTCATCAAGGAGACTCAGGAAGGATGATGGAGGAGCTCAGGCAACAGGGCTGGACTTGTTCACGCTATTGGACTCTGACCATGCTGACCAAACTATTTCTGCTTGGTAAATGAGCAAGGAACTGGGCAGGTTAGAATAAGTAACTTGGTGCAAGGTCCCAGAGGGTTCAAAGATGAAAAGGCAGGTCTCATTTCCGTAAAAACTGGGACAGCTACTGCTAAAAATTAGAGACCTTGTTTTCCTTTGTAACTTTACCAATGTTTTTCATTCTTTCCCTTGTAGTAGGTAGTTGTAAAACAAATCTTTTTAAATGAAGGGGGACTTACAGAGGACATTTATGCTTGTTTTGGGCACAGTAGGAAAGTGAGAAGGTGAAAAAGCAGTAGGGTAAAGAAGTTTTTAAGTGATGATAAAAGGAAGAGCGATAGGCAGAGACTTGTGTGAGTCAGGATTGAGGTGTGGGCAGTGTCTGACCAGGACAGAGAGTGCCCCTGCTGCTATGAATGGAATACTGTGTGTCTCTGACAGTCAACTGCTTGTGCCGGAGAGATGCTTTTATGATTACATTCTGCTCAGTCAGCTTGGACCAGAACTGTGGAGATGAATAGATTGTCAAGAGGTAAAGATTTATATGGATTTAGTAACTAGGAAGGGGCCATTAGTGACCTTGGAAAGAATTTCTTTAAAATATGTTTGGGAGAAGAAACAGTTATTGCAGGGGGCTAAGGAAACACATAACAACAAGGAAATTGAAGCATCAATTATAGGCGATTCTTCTTGGTATTTTGGTCATAAGTAGAAGGAGGGTTCATGCAAGGGCTTAAAGTATACCAGAAACTAGAGGAGGTAACTTCAAAATACCAGATGTGTGAGTGTTAAATGAGAGAGCAAGGAGTTGGGGCTCAAGTAATTGAATACCATGAAGAGAGAGGAGATAACTGAAACCTTAATGTCCATGAGGAACCAAAGAACATAGTTGTTAGGACATAAGTAAAAGGGGATCTGACTTAGAAGAGTAGAGAGAAAACTTTTCATTTGATACAAGGGGAAGAGATGAGAATGAATGAAAATAAAAGTACTTTAAGGTGAAGAAATGGGATGGTTATGGTCACTCCCAAAAGATAGCCTTTAATCTTCTCATGCAGTAGAAGGTAAGGTCATTTGCTGAATGGAATAAGGTGAGAGGGAGATGGAAACTTAAACAGGGAAAATCATTCTGCCATGGAAGCATACTTGGAATCAGTAAGTTGCCACAGTGACACCCCACTTGAAGTTAGCGTGGATTTTATAGCCATCAATAATATTCTAATGTTCTATAGTAGGAGTTGGCAAACTACAACCCAAGTGCCACTTCTAGCCCATGTAACCTGTGAGCTAGGAATGTTTTTTGTATTCATAAAGGGTTTAAAAAGACAAGCAAAGACACACAAAAGAGTACGTGACAGACTGTATATGGCCTTTATAGCCTGAAATATTTACTACCTGGTACTTTGCAGAAAAAGATTGCTGACCTTGTTCTGTAGCTCAGAACCAGAGAAAACAAATGCTAGTGTGATTTAGAGGTGGGAGCTAACATGCTGGACATGGTCAAAGATCAAGGGGTAATAAAGTAAGTGATACTAGTTAGAAGGTTGTTGGTGGAGGCGGACAATTGGGTGCAGGTTGATAGGGAGTAAAGTAAAGCCAGGGAAAATGTATTCTTCCTTGAAGGTCGGTCAGACCTACACAGAGTATGGGAGGAGTGAAGTGGTAGATTGGTTTCAAGTTGTAAAATGAAGCTTTCAGAATGAAAGTAATTGAGTTTTACATAGATGTATAAATGTTTTACTTGTACAGATCATCCTATAAAGAATTTTTGTTTGACATTAATACTACTTATGTATAAAATTCATTTTTGGAATGAAGATATTAGGGTATTAATACTAAAAGTATATATTTAATTGTGAACAGAGAATAAAGTAATGTGGCAGGTAATTGTCATTTGAAATATTAAAACTGGATTGGGCTACCAAGAAGCTATTAGATATAAATCACCTGGGCTTGATAGTGGTCCTTCTATAACAATGTTAATGTAGAGTCTATATTATAATATATGAAGCTTTGTTATTAGACATACATATAAGAACATAATGTGCCTTAGCCATTAAAAATCAAGTGTAGGGGACTCCCCTGGCCTCTGAAAGATGAAGCAGGAGCCATCAGTAGCTGCTTTGTGTTCTTCTGTATTGATGGGCAAAGTGATTCCTGCATATGGCATAATTGGATAGTATTTTCTGAAGGAGAAACTCCTCTGTGCTAAGGGTTAAAAATGTGAGAAACAGACAAAAGGTAAATAGGTTATAAATTTTCACTGTGCTAAATTTAAAGTTACTGGCTCCTCTTATAAAAAGCCTCTTTATTTTTTCTGGAGAATTAGATTATTTCCTGACAATAAGAAATCTTAAATACCTAAAGCTTCATTTTAAATGATACCTTTATTTTAAGTGGTTTTCAATAAATAACTTTTGGAATATTTTTAAAGATTGATTTAAATTTATTTTGAGTCATAAGAAAACAATACCTTAATTATGTAATTTACTTTAATTTTATTTTTGTGTTGTGTTTTTTTCTACTCAGTTCCCATTACAAAGAATACAGCAAAAAGACAGTCTTCCCTTTCCAAAGCAACCCAGCAGTCAATGCAGTCTGCAAAGAAAACTACTGTAGCATCACCAACACAGAAGACCAAGAAACCAGGACGGGCTAAACCAACTGGACGTACTCCAGGCCCCAAGAAGCAAAGTTCTGCTAAAACTGTCACACCAAGGAAAAAACCCCCCAAAAAGGTTCGTTGTATCTCGTACTAATTTGTATTATAGGTCTCTGTAGTGCCTTATTATTTATAGCATATCGTTTAGGATTTACTAAGAGCATGATGAAGCCCTTTAGGAATTTACTAAGAGTGTATACATATACTCTTAGTAAAAAAATATATATAGCTCTTTAAGGCCTACATAGCCATTGAGATTGGTGTTTCTTTCCATGGGTAAATTTAAAACTTTGAATAGTGTTTGACTTCTTCAAAACCACATTGAGATCTGGCATGGCAGCTGTGAGTCCAGCGGAGAGTGGAGTGCCTGCCAGAGATGCCTGATGTTGTGTTCTGAGGAGAGGCCAGTGGTGCGATGGGGTGGGCCAGGGACTGCTTACACTGAGATGGACTATGGAACAGCATGTACCAGAGGTGGAAGTCCAAATCAAACATAGGAGGACAGCCTCACTGAGCAACCAAGAGTGTCAGCTGTACCTGAGGCGATCTCAGCAGCAACAAGTACCTGTGGCAGGCATTCTTAGCTGACGCACCAGGAGGTGGTTAAAGCAGTCTTGAAACATCCCAGGTAGCTGATTCCAAGCAAAAAACCAGGTTCCACTTACTATTTGAAGCTTCTGCCCCAGCTTGCATTGTTTGTAGCAGAACCCACATCATAGCTTTATCTGTAGCCTTCCCTTTGGTCTTAAGGATCCTGAAACTTTACTATAGACACTGGATTTGGTGGAATAGCAATCATGGCTGTGGGAGAGCAGCAAGATGCTGCAGAACATCAACTATAGAATGAGGTGTATCCTTCAAGATGGCCAGATCTTCATTGTCACCTTTAAGGCTTTAGACAAACATGAATTTGATCCTCTGTGATTGTGGTGAATTCAGGAAGGTCAAGCCAAAAAATGTGAAGCAGCCAGAGCGTGAAGAAAAGTGGGTTTTGGGTCTGGTGTTGCTACATGGGGAGAACTTGGTTTCCATGAGTGAGGAGGTACCTCCCTCAAAGATGATGGCATTGCTTGAGTACCACTTGCTGGAGCTGCAGGAGGCCCTGGGGTTAGCAGGGCCACTGGCAGAGTACCAGCTAGTGTTCCAGTTCCCCAGACTCCTGCTGGATTAGCAGGCCCTGTCTAAAGGGTTGGGGGACCATCCCAGCAGGTAATGATGCCACAGGGAAGAGGCACTGAAGCAACTGCTGCAGTTGCAGCCACTGTCAGCATTGCTGGAGCCCCAACTCAGTACCCACCAAGTCAGGGGACTCCCCCACATCTGTGGGCCAAGCAACCCCATCTCCATGCATTATTGCTCCTCCACTTGGTATGAGACCACCCATGGGATCACCAGTTGGGCTTCCCCCTGCTTGAGGGATGCCAATAGGCATGCCCCCCCAGAAATGAGACCCCCTCCACTAGGAATAAGAAGTTCATCTCCCCCAGGAATGAGTCCACCAAGACCCTAGGATACTGTTGATCCTTAGTCACCTTTTTCCTGCACTGTGTCTTGTGAAACTGTGTAGAGTATTTGTGAGCTTTTGTCCCCTCTTTGCNAATTGTGAACAGAGAATAAAGTAATGTGGCAGGTAATTGTCATTTGAAATATTAAAACTGGATTGGGCTACCAAGAAGCTATTAGATATAAATCACCTGGGCTTGATAGTGGTCCTTCTATAACAATGTTAATGTAGAGTCTATATTATAATATATGAAGCTTTGTTATTAGACATACATATAAGAACATAATGTGCCTTAGCCATTAAAAATCAAGTGTAGGGGACTCCCCTGGCCTCTGAAAGATGAAGCAGGAGCCATCAGTAGCTGCTTTGTGTTCTTCTGTATTGATGGGCAAAGTGATTCCTGCATATGGCATAATTGGATAGTATTTTCTGAAGGAGAAACTCCTCTGTGCTAAGGGTTAAAAATGTGAGAAACAGACAAAAGGTAAATAGGTTATAAATTTTCACTGTGCTAAATTTAAAGTTACTGGCTCCTCTTATAAAAAGCCTCTTTATTTTTTCTGGAGAATTAGATTATTTCCTGACAATAAGAAATCTTAAATACCTAAAGCTTCATTTTAAATGATACCTTTATTTTAAGTGGTTTTCAATAAATAACTTTTGGAATATTTTTAAAGATTGATTTAAATTTATTTTGAGTCATAAGAAAACAATACCTTAATTATGTAATTTACTTTAATTTTATTTTTGTGTTGTGTTTTTTTCTACTCAGTTCCCATTACAAAGAATACAGCAAAAAGACAGTCTTCCCTTTCCAAAGCAACCCAGCAGTCAATGCAGTCTGCAAAGAAAACTACTGTAGCATCACCAACACAGAAGACCAAGAAACCAGGACGGGCTAAACCAACTGGACGTACTCCAGGCCCCAAGAAGCAAAGTTCTGCTAAAACTGTCACACCAAGGAAAAAACCCCCCAAAAAGGTTCGTTGTATCTCGTACTAATTTGTATTATAGGTCTCTGTAGTGCCTTATTATTTATAGCATATCGTTTAGGATTTACTAAGAGCATGATGAAGCCCTTTAGGAATTTACTAAGAGTGTATACATATACTCTTAGTAAAAAAATATATATAGCTCTTTAAGGCCTACATAGCCATTGAGATTGGTGTTTCTTTCCATGGGTAAATTTAAAACTTTGAATAGTGTTTGACTTCTTCAAAACCACATTGAGATCTGGCATGGCAGCTGTGAGTCCAGCGGAGAGTGGAGTGCCTGCCAGAGATGCCTGATGTTGTGTTCTGAGGAGAGGCCAGTGGTGCGATGGGGTGGGCCAGGGACTGCTTACACTGAGATGGACTATGGAACAGCATGTACCAGAGGTGGAAGTCCAAATCAAACATAGGAGGACAGCCTCACTGAGCAACCAAGAGTGTCAGCTGTACCTGAGGCGATCTCAGCAGCAACAAGTACCTGTGGCAGGCATTCTTAGCTGACGCACCAGGAGGTGGTTAAAGCAGTCTTGAAACATCCCAGGTAGCTGATTCCAAGCAAAAAACCAGGTTCCACTTACTATTTGAAGCTTCTGCCCCAGCTTGCATTGTTTGTAGCAGAACCCACATCATAGCTTTATCTGTAGCCTTCCCTTTGGTCTTAAGGATCCTGAAACTTTACTATAGACACTGGATTTGGTGGAATAGCAATCATGGCTGTGGGAGAGCAGCAAGATGCTGCAGAACATCAACTATAGAATGAGGTGTATCCTTCAAGATGGCCAGATCTTCATTGTCACCTTTAAGGCTTTAGACAAACATGAATTTGATCCTCTGTGATTGTGGTGAATTCAGGAAGGTCAAGCCAAAAAATGTGAAGCAGCCAGAGCGTGAAGAAAAGTGGGTTTTGGGTCTGGTGTTGCTACATGGGGAGAACTTGGTTTCCATGAGTGAGGAGGTACCTCCCTCAAAGATGATGGCATTGCTTGAGTACCACTTGCTGGAGCTGCAGGAGGCCCTGGGGTTAGCAGGGCCACTGGCAGAGTACCAGCTAGTGTTCCAGTTCCCCAGACTCCTGCTGGATTAGCAGGCCCTGTCTAAAGGGTTGGGGGACCATCCCAGCAGGTAATGATGCCACAGGGAAGAGGCACTGAAGCAACTGCTGCAGTTGCAGCCACTGTCAGCATTGCTGGAGCCCCAACTCAGTACCCACCAAGTCAGGGGACTCCCCCACATCTGTGGGCCAAGCAACCCCATCTCCATGCATTATTGCTCCTCCACTTGGTATGAGACCACCCATGGGATCACCAGTTGGGCTTCCCCCTGCTTGAGGGATGCCAATAGGCATGCCCCCCCAGAAATGAGACCCCCTCCACTAGGAATAAGAAGTTCATCTCCCCCAGGAATGAGTCCACCAAGACCCTAGGATACTGTTGATCCTTAGTCACCTTTTTCCTGCACTGTGTCTTGTGAAACTGTGTAGAGTATTTGTGAGCTTTTGTCCCCTCTTTGCTGCATTAATATTCACTAATAAATGCATAGAGGAATTAAACTGTGGGAAAGAACCCCCCAAACCACTTTGAAAATACTGCATGGGTGTATTTATGTTCAGAACAGTTTATTTTTTTAACTTTAAAATATATCTTTATTGATTTCAGAGAGAGGAAAGAAGAGAGAGAGAGAGAGAGAGAGAGAAACATCAATGATGAGTCACTGATCAAGCCCACAACCAGGGCATGTACCCTGACAGGGAATCGAACCCCGATCACCTGGATCCTAGGTCGACGCTCAACCACTGAGCCACGCCCGGCTGGGCCAGNAGAGAGAGAGAGAGAGAGAGAAACATCAATGATGAGTCACTGATCAAGCCCACAACCAGGGCATGTACCCTGACAGGGAATCGAACCCCGATCACCTGGATCCTAGGTCGACGCTCAACCACTGAGCCACGCCCGGCTGGGCCAGGACAGTTTATTTAAAACTTAGTATACTTTACAAATCAGTGTTAGGTGAATTTTACTGTGCGTAAGTTATACCTCTATAAACTGGGGGGATTGAGGAAATCAGTGTAGTCAATTTAATGATGCTGGAGCTATATTCTTTTTAACTGACTCTCTCAATGAAAGCAACTCTAAAACCTGGAAAATAATAGAAAAAACAGCTACCTGAAGACACTGGAGAGTGAATGGAAACTGACAGATTCTGGGTGGGGGGGGGATATACATAGGAGGAGGAGTGTTATACAAAATTCTATATCTGGCAGAAATATCCTTTAAGAATGAAGGGAAACTAAAAGATTACATTTTTAGATAAAGCATACTTAGAGAATTCATCACTGGCAAACAAGCACTATAAGAAATGCTGAAGGAAGTTTATCTCTGGCTAAATGTGCAAATGACTTTCTTTTTGACATTTTTCTTCATAGTTTCTTTATAATAATGTGACTATTTAAAGCAATTATAGTCTTGTGGGGTTATAACATACATAGATGTAAAACATATATAAAAAGTATTGGGTTGGGGGACATGGATTTGTATCAATACAAGGCTTCAACATTTTATGTTAAGTAGTACAGTATTAACTTTATATGGATTGGACATTGTAATCCCCAGGGTATATTGTAAAAACACAAATGCAAGAAGCATAGCTAAAAAGCCATTGGGAAAATTAAAATGGAATTCTAAGGCATATTAAAGAAAAAGATAAGGAGGAATAGAGGAACAAAACACAGAGGAGACAAATAGAAAACAGTAGACCCAGACATAAACATATTAATAATTACTTTAAAAGTTAGTGCACTAAACTCTCTAATGAAAAGACAGAGCTTAAGAAGGTGAAGGGATTAAGCATAACAGCATTATATATATATTATATAATGAATGAGTGTTATCCTATTTTTTCCTCTTTTGTTCCTACCCTTTAAATACCTTCTATTACTACCTTTTCTAGGCACAAGAGCCTTGTCTCTGATATTGGAGAGCTGTGTTTGAAATAGCTCCAAGAAAACCTCAAGAGTTGATATAAAATAAAGCATTAGTGATGTTTAATAATGCCCAGAGTACATTTGGTTCTTACATACAATAGTCATAATTTTGGATACAAGCCACTTTTAATGTCATAACTATAATATGTAATATGGAGAAATGCAGACTAGATACAGTAAAAATCAGATGAGTGACTGCTTTCTAAAGACAGCTCTGTCATCTGTCTTGTTGAGGTCCCTCACCCTCATTGGATGTATTATTGCTGGATTAGATTGACAGACTTTTATTTAGCAGCATGAAAAAACTTGTCTTATAGGGAACCTCAAAAAATAAAACAATTTTACAGAGTGAACTATTTTGGCTAAATTGGACCGGGGATAGCACAGGGAATCTCAGTTTCTTGGTCTCTTTCTCGCCCACCTGATCATGGGCCCCTCTGAGGAGCACAATGTGGAAAGTACTGTAGTTTGTGACACACACACAGGAGTTTCCAACCCTGAGAACTTCTGGCAACTGATCATTTGTGGACCAGTTATGTCAATTTTCTGACCTTACCTAGGAATGTTTTAAAGCATAATGTATACTTGTGTTTTTTGATGTTATTGATTTTTTTTAACAGGAAAAATCTATTCCTGTTATGTGTTCTACATCTACAACTTCTGTAAAGATGCTGACCAGAGGCCGTGGTGTTGAATATAAGGATCCCAGTCCTGGGTCATCTAAAATAATGATGTCTACAGGTAAATTAGTATTTTAAAAGACTATAAAATTACTAATCTTTTATTCTGTATTATTTCCAGTATCTTTGAAGTCCTGGAAGTAAAACAATAAGAAAAAAGATGATGATAAACATTTCTTTAAGCATTTTTCATATGTATTTTGAAATTCTGATTGTTCATTTTGATGTTAAGGAAAAAGAGCCTGTTTAAATGCACGAGTCACTCAATACCCTTAAAAGTTTTTTATCCATCTTAGTAAGATTTATAAAATTTACATCATCAAATTATTTTTGTTTTTCCTGTCTCTCATTTCACAGTTTGTCTTATTGTCTACATGTATTTTTTAAAGCTACCTCAAACTTTTTTTTAGTGCCTTTCAAAATCTTGACAGATCATTGCCTGTTAAGGGGCATGATGACTTTGAATTGTTCTCTGCTTTTCAACAATAAAGATTAAGAAAAAGAAGAAAAAAACAAAACAAAATTGGAGTCATTCTACTCAAATCCTGCCACTGCTTTATCAACTAAGTTTATATATTCTAAATATTTTGTTGTAATTTCAACAATCTTCACAGCATCTTCATGAGCAGAGAATTCCATCTCAAGAGAAACCTCTTTCTTTGTTCATCCATAAGAAATCATTTTTCATTTATTAAAATTTTATGAGACTGCAGCAATTCAGTCACATCTTCTGGTTCTGCTTTTAATTTTATTTCTCATTTCCGTTGCTATTTCCAACACTTCTGCAGTTACTTCCTCTACTGAAGTCTTGCAAAGTCGTCCATTAGGGTTGGAATAAATTTCTTCCAAACTCCTATAAAAAAAAATTGTTCTCTGCTTTTGTGAACAGTATGAGATGCCCAGACCCTGATTAATCAGTTCCTTTTATTTGTCATCTGTATCGGCAAAAATATTGCTACGAGAGATGTCTGAGATTTTACTGTCTATGTTTTCTTCTAGGATTTTTATGGTTTCTGGACCTACATTTAAGTCCTTTATCTATTTTGAGTTTATTCTTGTGTGTGGTGTAAATTGGTGGTCTAGTGTCATTTCTTGCATGTACTTGTCCAATGTGTTATGTCTTTTTGATATAGTGCCCCCTTATCATTATAAAATGCCCATCTTTGTTTCTTTTTACCTTTTGTCAGATATAAGTATGGCTATACCTGCTTTTCTGTGGATGCTATATATTTGCTTGGAGAATAATTTTCCACCATTACACTTTGAGCCTATCTTTGTCTTTATAGCTTAGATGTGTCTCCTAAAAGCAGCATATGGTTGGGTTTTGTTTTTTGATCCAGTCTGCTACTCTGTGCCTTTTTATTGGTGAATTCAGTCAATTTACATTTAGGGTAATTATTGATGTCTGAGGATTTCCTATAACTATTTAGTCTTCTGTTTTCTGGTAGCTCTGTGCCTCCATTTGTTCTTTTCTTTCGTGTTTCTGTCTGTTGTTTTTGTTTGGTAATATTCCATACTTTTTTCTCTGTTTGCTCTTTTTTTAAGTTTATATATCTCAGTTTTTTTGTGTGTGTCTGGTTACCATTAGGTTTATGAAAAAGCAAGTTTAATATATACAGTAGTTATTTTTCTTTTGACTGCATCTAATCTCCATCCTCCTTTGCAAATTCAGACCTTTTACACCCTCCTCTTTTCTGTTTTTGTTGTCACAAACTATCTCTACTTACTCTGTACATTTTTTGGTGATCTTACTCATAGTTTTTTGACTTTTTGCTTTTTGTTTTAGGTAGAATAACCTCATTGAGTGTTTCCTACAGTGGAGGTCTTTTGGTGATGAATTCCCTCAGCTTCTGTATGTCTGGAAAATTCTTTATTTTTCCTTCATATCTAAAAGATAACTTTGCTGGATATATTATTTTTGGCTGGTAATTTCTCTCTTTCAGTAGTTTGAATATTTGGTTCTACTCTCTTCTGGCTTATAGAGTTTCTACTGAGAAGTCTGATGATAACCTAATGGACTTTTCTTTATAGGTTACTTTCTTTTTTTCCCCTGGCGGCCTTGAGAATTCTGTTTTTGCCATTCATTTTTGACAGCTGTAATACAATGTGCTTTGGAGAAGTCCTCTTTGAATTGGTAANACAATCTGCCTTTGAGAAGGCCTTTTTGGATTGAGGTTATTAGGTGTTCTGTTTGCTTCATGGGTTTGAAGGTCTAGCTCTTCCCATAGGTTTTGGGAAGTTCTCAACTATTTGTTTGAATTGACTCTCTGTTCCCTTACCCTCTCTTCTTGTATGCCTGTTGTTCATATATTGTTCTTTCTGACTGAGTCATATAGTTCCATAGAGTTCTTTTATTATTTTTTATGCTCAAATCTCTGCATCATTTCTAGATTTCTATTTTTGATATCACTAATTCCTTGCTCCATCTGGCCAGCTCTATTTCCTGCGCTTGCTAGTTCATTCTTTATCTCTCTTATTGAGTTCTTCATCTCCAGAATTTCTGTTTGGTTCTTTTTTTAAAAAAAATATCTTTATTGATTTTAGAGAGAGGAAGGATTTGGTTCTTTTTAAAAGTTTCCATCTTTTTGGTAATGTACTTGTTTTGTTTGTTGATTTTGTTTTTAAGTTCATTAAATTGCCTCTCTGTTTTCTTGCATCATGTTGAGTTCTTTCAGAACTGCAGTATTTTTTTATTGAGGTTTTTAAATTGATTTTAGAGAGAGGAAGGGGAGGAGACAGAGAGGAGAGAGAAACATTGATGTGAGACAGAAACATCGATTGGTTGCCTCCCTGAAGGTGCCCCTACTGGGGATTGAACCCACAACCTGGGTATGTGCCCTGACTGGGAATTGAACCTATCACCTTTCCGTGTATGGGACTATGTTCCAGCCACCTGAGCCATACCAGTCAGGACCAGAATGGCAATGTTAAATTCTCTGTCGTTTAAATCACATATTTCCATGTCTTTAAGTTTATTTTCTGGAGATATATTATTTTCTATCTGAGCTGCCTCCTTACCTTGTTTATTCATGGTATTTGATGTATTCCTTCTCTGTCTAGGCATCTATGTTGAGTGGTACTTCTTTAGTACAGCAGCTTTCAACTGGTAGGCCATGACAGGCACACTGGTGTGCCACAAGAATTTTAAAAACATGCAATACCTGACTATTTAGTCAGCGGCCACTGACCACTTTCCCCTTAGATTGTCAAATAAAAAAATGACAACAGCCAACACAAGAATAGCCAACTCGTGTGAATGAATCAAAATTATACCTATTTTTTTTTTGGTCAGATTGGCAAAAAAATGTATTTTTTGGTATGCCACAGAATTTTAGTAATCAGTTTGTGCCATGAGATGAAAACGGTTGAAAATCGCTGCTCTAGTATATTGATAAGGAGAAGCCTTTCTATTTTTTTTTTTTTTTAGTAGGTGGCGCTGAATCACAAGTTTTTTAATCTCTCTCGCACTTCTCTGGTGTTTCAGATCTCTGCCAGTTGGTGGAAAATGGCTTGTATTCCCTGGGAAGGTCTGTGCCTCCCTTGTGATCTGGTTGCCCCAGTCTCAGGGGGCCAACCCCTCAGGGGAATGCGGAGGGCAGTGAATTTGGTGAAATACCAGTGCTGCCCCTGCAGCCAGTCACCATTAGCAGTGCAGTCTCTGATGTATGAGAGTGGAGTGAGTGATCTGGGGGAACCTGGCCACCTCCTTTGTTCCTTTGCCCTCCCAGTAATGGCAACCAGTATACTCTGCAGTGTCCCTCCGGACCTTCCACTCAACCCTGGGATTAGTCACAGTCACAGAGTGCACCCTTCACTCAGGGAAAAGTGTTTCTGTAATACCGTTTCTTGGGTTTGCAGATAATGTCCTCTGCAACTTGACATGAAGGGTGAGCAGAGGTGATCTCTGGGAGGTTAAGGGAAGGTGACCAGGCTCTGTGACTTTTTTTCTCTGTCTGGAATGCCAATTGCCAGACAACTTTGGCCACACCTTTGTTCTTCATCCCTGCCCAGTCACTGGGCTCAGCAGCAGCTTGTACTGCCCACTCCTGCCGGAATGTTAACTATATCTCTTTGCTCCTCCTGGCTGAAGGGAGTGCCAGCCACAACCTGATTTCTCCCCTTTCCAGGCTGAGCCCTGCAGTGAGCTCCCAGCTCCCCTGGCTCTTCTCCCTTCTCACCTCCCTGGTTTGTTTTCACCTGCCCAGCTTCAGATGTTTCAATGCACAGATCTCTCAGACGTGTTTGTGCATTGAGCAGGGAATCCTTTGTTGAATTATAGCTATTCAAATTGTTGAAATTTCAGGGAGAGACCAAGGAGGTCTCTTATGCTTTCATTCCTTTGATATCACTCTGTATAAGTTCTTTATAAATTTTGGATATTAACCTGTTATTGGATGTGTCATTGGCGAATATCTTCTCTCATTCGGTAGGATGTCTTTTGCTGTGCAAAAACTTTTTACTTTGCTTGGCCAGGCGTGGCTCAGCAGTTGAGCATTGATCTAGGATCCAGGAGATTGCCATTTGATTCCTGATCAGGCACATGCCCGGGTTGCGGGCTCGATCCCCAGTCGGGGGCATGCAGGAGGCAGCCGATGAACGATGATTCTCTGTTCATTGATGTTTCTATCTCTCCTTCCCTCTCTTTTCCTCTATGAAATCATTAAAGATATATTTTTTAAAAGAACAAACAACTTTTTAATTTGATGTAGGCCTATTTGTTTATTTTTTTCTTTTGTTTCCCTTGTCTAAGGAGATATATCAGAAAAAATATTACTAAGAGCAGTGTCAGAGAGTTTACTGCCTATGTTTTCTTCTAGGAGTTTTATGACTTTGTGTCTTACATTTAAGTCTTTAATCCATTTTAGTTTATTCTTGTATATGGTGTAAGAAAGTGGTCTAGTTTCATTTTTTTGCATTGCCGAGCTTTCTCAACACCATTTATTAAACAGTCTTTAGCACATTGTATATTCTTGCCTCCTTTGTCATAGATTAATTGATCATATTAGGCATGGCTTTATTTCTGGGCTCTCTATTCTAACATGACCAATCTTTAAAAAAGTTCCTATACTGTGTGTACAGCTAAAAGGTGAAAATACTCATTTATCTTTATATCATGTTATATAATGTGGGAATGTATGATTAATTGTTTTGTAGCTTTTATAATCAGTTTGGGAGCAATTCTAGAAAATTGCATAAGTATTTGGATTATTTCTTTCTAGGTTTAAAATCTTTACACAAATGTAAAGATATATTTAGATACATATTTTTAGGTAGAATACAGGATCATTGATAATTATATTTAGGTTCTCTTGAGTGAATTGTGGCTTGTGGGATATTGTAATTGAATACATATTTATGTTTTTATAACCAATTTCATTGTTATATCTGTATACACATTTTCCCCCTCAAGTCTGTGTCTATATAAACAAACATGGAGACTGTGGCCCTTACCTGGATCAGAACAAAATCCAGCAGTTGCCTGACCACTTTGGCCCGGGCCCTGTGAATGTGGTGCTCAGGCGGACTGTGCAGGCCTGTGTAGATTGTGGCATTGAAAGTAAGACTGTTTTTGGATTCCTTAAGCCAGATAATCGTGGAGGAGAAATGATAACGGGTATGCTCATCTAATTATTTATTCATATTTTTTTCCTAATTTGATTTTCAGTTTTTAGAAGGCAAACATGTTATAATATGTATATTATTTTATAATATTTCTATTCTATTAACTTTAAAATATTGGAATATTTATTATATTGATATAATAGAATATTTATAATAGTTATATGTTTATAGACTTTTAACCCTGTTTGGAAAGCTTAATTTTACTTTTAAAATACACAAAGTATAATACTGTAACTTGAGATAAAAGGTACAGATGTTTTTTTTACATGCTTTGTTAAGTTCACTGTATACAAAGTACCTAGGTTGATAATAAATTTTAATTTTTTTAGAAAACAGACTGGTTTATAAGAAGCTCTAAATAAAAATGTGGCTGAAGAAGTGATTAAGAGATAAATTATACAGCTTTCATGATTTTGTGCTCAGATACTACAACATTTGTCCCCATGGAATATTTGAAGTAGAGTGTTGTTAGAGATCAATGGGTTTCTGTTGTTTACTTTATGAATATTTTAAAATGAGAATTATTTTACTAATGTAGGCTGTTGTGTTGTGTGTTTTTTTAAATTTAATCTTTATTTTTTTATTATTTTATTTTATTTTTATTTTTTTAAAATTTTATTTTTGTTTAAAATATTACAGATGTCCCTTTTTCTCCCCAATGACCCATCCCTTCCCCCTCCGCAGTCCCTCTCCCCACCATTGTCCGTGTGCTTGGGTTGTGCACATATGCATATAAATTCTTTGGTTACTCTCTCCCCCTTCACCCACCCGCCCTCCTCCATCCCTCTGACATTCGTCAGTCTCATCTATGCTTCCATGTCATTGAATCTATGCTGTTTATTAAGTTCTTTAGATTCCACGAATAAGCGAGATCATGTGATATTTGTCTTTCGCTGCCTGGCTTATTTCACTTAGCATATTATTCTCCAGGTCCATCCATACTGTTGTGTTTTAATGAGAGGAATTTTTGTAATTTACAATTATTCCTTTGTAAATTACAAAAACTCACAAATTAGAGATATATTACATTTCCTAAATTGATGGCTTTTTAAAATAATTACTGTAGTTCTCATATTTCTGTTATGTAACTCTGACATCTTTTTTTTCTTTCAATAGCCTTCTTTGATGGGGAAACTCATTCCATCCAGCTCCCTCCAGTGAACAGTGCGTCATTTGCTCTTCGCTTTCTTGAAAACTTCTGCCACAGCCTGCAATGTGATAACCTTCTGAGTAGTCAGCCTTTTAGTGCTTACAGAGGTAATACTCATAGTACTGCAGAGGATGATCAAAATAATCCAGGTAAGAAAAAATGTAAAATTTTATACTGTGCTTCTGTTTTATATTACAGTTTATAATTAACTCAAGAATCTTGTTTAATGCAGTTCTCCCTTGTGTCCTCAGAGTAAACATTTTATCTACTATGATAATTAGACATGCATAATATATAGTTGTTTTTGTTCAAAGTCAGAAAGTAATTTCTTGTTGTATTCATAATGAACTGGAGAATCAAAACCTGAAAGGTATTTCATTGTGATTTGATTTGCATGTTGAGCATCTTTTCAAGTTCTTATTCGCTATTCGTATATTTTCTTTGGAGAAATACCTATTCAAATCCTTCACCCATTTTTAATTGGGTTCTCTATTTTTTATTATATAGATATATATTTATAATTATTATATATGTATATATTAGATATTGTATCTTTATACTTGTTATATGTAAGTATAATACACGAAGAATTCTTTATATATCCCATGTACAAGTTCCGTATCAGATACATGGCTTGCATATATTGGGAGAGGGAAAAAGTAGATTTACAGTTCATATGGAAAATAATATAATAATTAATAAATAATACTAAAAGAATATACTCTGTGTTTTGCATACTCAGAACTGTAAACCTACTTTTGGCCCACCCTGAATTTTCTCCCATTCTGTAGGTTGTCTTTTTACTTTCTTGATGGTGTCCTTTGAAGCACAAAAGTATTTAATTTTGATGAAGTCCAGTTTATCTATTTTTCTTTTTTTTCTTGTACTTTTGGTGTCACATCTAAGAAAACATTGCTTTAATACACGTTCACAAAGATTTACTTCTTTGTTGTCTCCTACGAATTTTATAGCTGCTCTATTTAGGTCATTGATCTATTTTGAATTAATTTTTGTTTTTGTTTTGACACAACAGATGTTTTGCTTTATACAGTAGTTGAAGGTATCATTACTTATATATGATTTTATAAATTATCAATACAGTCTCCTTATCCAGGGTTCAGTTACCCATGGTCTACTTCAGTCCAAAATTTTTAAATGGAAAATTCCAGAAATAAACAATTCTTACATTTGAAATTGCACACCATTCTGTGTAGCATGATGAAGTCTCACTCTGCCTTGCCTGGGATGCAAATCATCTCTTTGTCCAGTGTGACCACACTGTGTATAGTACCTGCTCAGTAGCCACTTAGTAGCTGTCTTAGTTATTAGATCTACTTTTGTGGTATCACAGTGCTTGTGTGTGTTCAATTAACTCTTATAGTAGCCTAATGCTACATCACAGTGCCTACGTCATTCAGCTCACTTCACCTCATCACATAGGCATTGTATCATCTTACATCATCACAAGAAGAAGGGTGAGTACAGTACAATAAGGTATTTTGAGAGAGAGATAACATTCATATAACTTTTATTATAGTATGTTATAATTGTTCTATTTTATTATGTTACTGTTGTTAATCTCTTACTGAACCCAATTCATAGATTAAACTTTATCATAGGTATGTATGTATAGGAAAAATCATAGTATATATAGGGTTTGATACAGTTCATGGTTTCAGGCATCCACTGGGAGTCTTGGAACATATTTCCCTGGGTAAGGAGGGACTTTTGTACTGTCTAGTGCCCTTTATTTTTTTATTATTATTATTTTAAAATATATCTTTATTGATTTCAGAGAGAGGAAAGGAGAGGGGGAGAGAGAGATAGAAACATCAATGATGAGAGAGTCATTGATCAAGCCCACAACCCGGGCATGTGCCCTGACCTGGAATCGAACACCCGGTCGCCTGGATCCTAGGTCAACGCTCAACCGCTGAGCCATGCCCAGCTGGGCTGTCTAGTGCCCTTTAATTTCAACTTGAAGAAGTCCCTTTAGTATTTCTTGTAGGGTATCTCTGCAACTGAGGAATTCTCTCAGTTTTTAAAAAATTTTATTAGCGTTTATTTGATGCAGAATTTACTCCTGGGCCACAAGTTTTGTTTCTTCAGTTTCTTCTGGAATATCTTTTTCTTCTTTGCAACCTCCTCTTCTGGTTTAGGAACAGTTTGCTCTTTTTCAGTAAGGATCATCTCCATGTGGCAGGGAGAGCTCATGTATGGGTTAATCTGGACATGAGGTCTGTAAGTTCTGGGCTGCATCTTGGGAGATTTGTTCACCTGGATGTGCTCAGTGACCAGAGAATCTAGAGCTAAACCCTTAAGTAAAGCAAAATTTTTTGCATTTTAAAGCATGTGCAGCAAAAATTCAACACTCTTTTTGAGCCAGGGATCCTGTGTCCAGCCCCATTGTTTGGCCTGGGCACACCTACCAACTCCACCATTGTAACAATAGAATGGGACACATTGCTTCTTGTAAAGTTACATACTTCAGATACTTGGTGAATTTTTGGATATGTGTACTCTTGATGACCTGAGCAGTTTCATCAGGGTTCTTAAAGTAAACATAAAGATTTGAACCCTTTAATTGGCATGATTTTGTGGGGTTTTCTGTGTCACGACAATAGCAAAACATTTTCAGAGCTCATCTGAGACTCTTAAGGGAATAGTCTCAGTTTTTGTTTATGGAAAATTTTTTATTTTCCCCTTCATTTTTTAAAGGTTAGTTTTGCTGAATATAGAATTCTTGGTTGACTATCTTTTTGTTTCAGTGATTTGGGTATGTCATCCCACTTCCTTCAGTAGTTTATAGTTAGCTGCTAATCTTATTGAGGCTTCTTTGTATGATTTGCTTTTTCTTGTACAAAATTCATTTTGCTTTTGCTTTAGACAGTTTGTGTTTTTCTAGGTGTGAATATCTTTGAATTTATTTTTGTTGGATATTGTTGAGCTTTTTGAATATGCCAGTTAATGTTTTTCATCAAATTTGGGAAGTTTTTAGCCATTATTTCTTCCTGAAATTTGTATTTATTGATTTAGAGAGCAAAAGAGGAAGGTAAGCAAGCAGGGAAAGTGGGAGGGGGGGAGAAAGAGAGGGACACTGACTTATTGTTCCACATATTTATGCATTTATAGGTTGATTCTTACTTGTGCCCTGACTGGGGATCAAACCCATAACCTTGGCGTATGGAGATGACATTCCAACCAATTGAGCTACATGACCAGGGCCTATTATTTCTTAAAATATTCTTTCTGCCCTTTTCTCTCCTTTCCTGGGACTCTCTCATTATGTGTCTTTTGTTATGCTTGATAGTGGACCACAGGTCTCTGATATCTGTTCATTTGTCCTCATTCTTTTATGTTTTTAATATGTCTTTATTGATTTGAGAGAGAGGAAGGGAAAGGGGGAGAGAAAGAAAAATCAATGATGAAAGAGTCATTGATCAGCTGTCTCGTGCATGCCCCTACTTGGGATGGAGGCCACAACCTGGACATGTGCCCTGACCAGGAATTGAACTATGATATCCGGGATCATAAGAAGATACCCAAACACTGAGCCATGCTGGTGGGGTTCTTTTTCGTTTAACTATATAATGTCAATTGATCTGTCTTTAAATATGTTGATTCTTTCTTCTATTACATCAGATCTGCTATTGAGTCTGTCTTGGGAATTTTTCATTTCATTTAATATATTTTAAAAAAATTCTCAAATTCATATTAAATTCTTTGTTACTGCTTTATTGACAGTCTCTGTTTGGTGAGACATTCCTCTCATACCTTTCTTTAATTATTTACACAAAATTATTAAAAAGCCTTCTCAACATACATAAAATAGCATGCTTGAAGTCAGCCAAGAAAGTCCAGTGTCTGGGCTTGCTCATAGGCGTTTTATATTGATATTTGTTTTCCCCTGTGTATTCTCCATAATTTTCTGTTTCTTTGCATGTTTCCTTATGTTTCAGTTGAAAACTGTGCCTGTTTAACTGACATAATGCAGTAACTCTCATCATTAGATTTCCTCCCCATCTGCAGAATTTGTTGTTGCTGGTGCTGTTTGTTTAGTGCAATTCCGAATCTAATTTGATCAATTTTGCTGGGCTAATTGTGCCTTCTATGACTACTGAAGTCTTCTCCAGTACGACAGTGGCCAGGTAGTGATTGGACAGGGATTTCCTTCAACACCTGGGAGTGGTGTGTGTCCCCGCCTTTGCAAGGAGTCTTGTGTGTGTGTGTGTGTGTGTGTGTGTGTGTGTGTGTGTGTGTGTGT